TAACATGTATTTGTCTATTAATTATTCCATTTATTATGAAATCTTATCCAATAATAACAATAATAATATCACAATTAGGAAAATTAATTATAAGTGCTTCAATATTAATAACATGGATTTATGTTCCAGAAATATTTCCAATATCTATGCGTGGTGTTTCTAATGGTGTATTTGTATTTAGTGGACGTATAGGTGCTATTCTTGCACCTATTATTGATGTTGCACTTGGTGATAAATATATTAAAATAACATTCTATATTTATTCAGCTTTAATAATAATTCAAATTATTTCAATTAATACTTTACCAGAAACACGAAATCGATCATTTCATACGGAAGAAGATGAAGAAAATGATTTAGGTGACGAAAATTTATTTGTATTTGGAGATCATATAGAGCAATCAAATGAAACAACGATTCGACCTACACCGATAATTTTAAGAAGTAATAGAGTCAATGTTTTACATACACAATTTTAATACAATGTGTGTAAAATAAAACTCATTTGAACTCATTTTATATTATCTTTAATTGTTTTTTTTTTTATATAAACATAAAAAACTAAACATTTTAATCTTTCAAAATTCATCTTTATACAATTTCAAACTTTTTGCTTCATTATAAAAAAATCAGCAATTCTAAATTTTTATATTGAATAGTTAATAATTAATTGTTAACAAAAAAAAACAACACATGATTGTTTCTGTATTTTTGATCGTTTTCATAATGAATTCTATGATTTCGAAAGTCGTCCTTTAACGATCTTAGAAATTTGTAGATCTTAATCTTTTCAGATAATTAGATTTCATTAAAGTTAGCAAATGAGTTTTTCCATGAAAAATTGAATTTCTTTTGTGTTTTTGTCGATACAAAGGTCATTAAATTGTCTTAAAATAGCATTTGCTATTTTGGTAATGACATTCTTAGAATCGTATGAATCTTCTTTGATGTTGTTGTTGTTGTTTTTGTGTTTGTTTCTGTTTCTTTTGCATTATTATCATCGAATGTAATTTACTATCACTTTATCAAGATGAAGAAGTATATAACAAAGAAAGTGTGTTAAAAGAATTTTAATTCTTAATTTATATACAAATGATCAATTATGTTTCTTTTTTATTTTGCTTCAAAAGACATTTTTTTTTTCAATATATTAATTTGTCCTTGTCTAACTGCTGTTTATCGTATTTTCTCCTTGTTAACCTTGATATCTACTAAAAACTAGGCTATTGTCATCAGTAATACAACTCATTAACTAATGAGATGTCTCATTTATTCTGTTTCCCGATAGTAATTTTTAGCCACATGATCAACGTGCATATAGAGATACATATAAAAGCGTATAACGAGAACAAGGTGATGATATAGTATTTTTTTTTTCTTTCTTATACATTGATGATATCTATTTTTTTTTTGCTTCTTTGCTTATGTTGTGTTACAAACCTAAACGATGCAATATTATTATATGTAATATTGTATATGATTTTTTTTTCTCTATGACATTCTTTTTTTTTCAGTAGTACATAAATGTATTTGTATCGTCCTTTTTTTGTTCTTTCTTTTTTCGATCGTAGGTAAATGATTTATTCCCATTGAAATATATAGTGGTAACTAACGTCGTTAGATATTTTATCGATTGCATTATACGTATGTGATTAAGGCAAATTTAAGATGATGCCTTTTTTGTATGCACCACCACCACTACTGCCATCAACAGTATTTCCTATGTTGCTTATTGCCAATCAAACTCATATTGAAGGTGATGATTATGATAATGATGATGATGACGATTATATTGAAGACGATTATTTACCTACATCAACAACAATTTCATCAAGAACTATGTCTATTCCAATGACAGCTTTGTCACATTTTGTTAATGTTGATAGACAAATACCTCCACCATTACCACCAGCACCAATTCATAATGATGAACCGGGTACATTTCGTTTACGTATGAATGTTGATGGTTTTCAACCAAATGAATTAAATGTTTCAATTCGACATGGTCGACTCATTGTTCGTGGTAAACATGTTGTGCGAGCATCGACTCAACCATCTCAACCATTAACAACAAATTCATTTGTAAATGGCAATGATGATACAGAACCTGATTTTGTTGCTAAAGAATTTAAACGTACATTTATTATTCCACAAAATGCTGACGTACGAAAAGCTCATGCACAATTCTATCCTCAACAACAATTACTTGTCGTTGAAATACCATTTCAAAATTTAACAATATCATCTCAAACAAGAACTAATCGATCACATGTACGTCCTATAGATGTATTTTTTACTATGGTAGCTATTTTATTATTGGATGAAGCCATACGTATAACATATGAAGAATTTATGAATAACGAAAATCAAATCACAAATACATCTAGTCAAAATTAAAGAGAAAATCATGATATTTTCTCTTAGTAATAGGTTTAAAATAGCAAACTTCTTTTTATTATTTGCACAAAGTGACACTATCTGTTGTGAAAAAAAAATATTAAAATATAATTTGTATCCATAATTTAAGCAAAAAAGAATATTTTCTCTTTTATTTCCTCAATGGATTCATATCGTATTATTCAATTGTTTTTTTTTTTTCATTTATCATTTCTACTACTTGTTTTTATATTTTTTTAATCGAATAATTCCTTAAACAAAATTGATTATTTGTTTATATTCTAATAATTCTATTAAATTGATTTTTTTTTCAAACATGATCATAAGCTTCAATGATTTCTTTTTTTTTTTGTTATTATTTATATTTTAATTTCGATAGAATTTCATTATTAATTATTGTTCGAGATATTATTTAAATAAAAATCTAATTTTATTCATGATTAAGAAGAAGAAAAAAAAAACAGAAAAATAAATGAACGATTATCTCATCAAATTTCATGTGTCAGACTAACTATATAGTTAAATTGTGTTTGCTCTTTTGCGCACATAATATAACACGTTGTCATGTTTGTCGAGAGTACATGATCATTGAGAGTAGGATTGCTTGTTCGTTCGAACAATAAGATGAACTAAAGAAGCGAGAAAGATTTGTGATTAGTAATTTGATTCATACAGGCACGAAAAAAACAAAATGAATGAATGAATGAATGAATGAATGAAATCTTATTCCAATGAAATCAAAAAAAAAATTGCTCGTCTTATTGTCATTTGAACGGAAGTTTATAGTAGTTCAGAACAACACTCAATAATTACTAGTCGTTGATGCATCATGTTCCGATTGTTCATCGTTCAACGAACCAAATACTCGTTCGTTTCTTTTTTCTCTCTTTTATCTAAATGGTAATTTTCTGTAGCATAGTTAGTCGTCAACAACAGGCCGACTACGATCTAATCTTGACGACGACATCAATCGATTTCTGACAAGACAAGCATTATTGAGTATGTTACTATCGTCATTGCTGTTCTAGCTTGTGATGTCGATGATGGTTATTTGATTATGCTAAAACCATCCAAAAGAGAAAAATGAGAAAGAAAAAAAAAAGACATATTTTTTAGGGTTGGACCCCAGGATTATGTTCGACGAACACTACTAATTATAATCGAACAAAGAGACCTTAGATTGTGCTTGCGCACACAAATAAATAGATGCGCACGCGTGCATATAACCAGTAAAAAGAAGAAGATAGAGAAAACGAAAAGGGTTTCATTCAATAAGATCTTTCTTTGTCCTTTCTAAATGTAATCGCGCATCAATTAACAGATTTGCGTACGTGTGTCTCTTGAGAGAATGTATAGCCAAAGACATATAGAACAGTCAGAAGACAGACAAGCAAAGACTATTTCATATTCAACTATAATTCCCTGACCGACAATTATTGAAGACCGACAAACACACAATATAGACCATCCGGAGAGTTTACGTTGGGCGACGTTTCATATTTCACAGTTGACATGCGCGCTCCAGAGAGACAGAGAAAAAAGAATGCATTACCATAATGGACGTCGCCCGTTATTGTTGTGTTAATATTAAAAAAACAATTTCTTCTATGAAATGATGGGGAGTGACACATATAAATATATATATATATATATATATATTTGAAATTATTCGATTATCGACAACGATGAGTGTTGAAACTCACATTCGTAATATTATCGTCATATAACACCTGTCGTCTATTTATACTCAAATATTTGTGTGCATATTCGTCCAATGCGAATAATCCTTTGACAGGTAATGTTTAGTTACGTCTCTTTATTTAATGTGCATAATGCATTGGCATACTAAAAAAAAAAAGTAATTTTTCTCTTTTTTTTTGGTTTAAATAAAATCTTTCAATTACTAAAACTTTTTTTAACATTAAAAATATGAAGACATAGAAGCAAGTGTTTTATGTGTACATCATTCTCACAGGGCATAAATGCCATCATGTCTTCCTTTTACTGCACATACAATCTCTTTCTCTCTCTCTCTCTCTCTTGTCTTCGTCTTCTTCTTCGGGTTGTGTTATTATTCTCCGTGTTATTATATGTTCTCTCTCTCTCTCTCTCTCTACTATTTGGATGTTGCTTGCCTATTGAATCATCATCGTCCTCATCATCATCAATCGATCGATTTTAATCTCAAATCCAAATGTATATACAATAAGCTAACGTGCTATCATTCGTCATTTTATTGTTATCGACGTGTTTTCTCTCTTACTGTTGTCAGGCAGCAGTATCAATAATCGACGAGCTGTGAGACGATGACGACGGCGTCCTGCATCCATCATCTCCTCAACTTTCCGCTTTTATCTCGTTTCTCACTCAACTCATTTAGCAGAGACTCGTTCGCTTAGCTTTGCATACTTCATACCTCTTGACTAATAAAGAGAGGAGAAAAAAAATAGAATAGAGAGTGAGAAAATGAGGAATGCCTCCAGATGTGTTCGTTGATCGTTCTAGTATCCGATCTAATTGAATTAGAGTGAGAATGCACTTTTTTATTTTATTTTATTATTATTATTATTGTCATCATTCATTTTAGATAGAAACAAAAAAAAATGTTGTCTGATTTACTTGATGATGATCTTTTATCAAGACCGATAACATTACCAACATCAACGAAACCTATGGTTAATATGACTAATACTGGTAAGTTCATAGATTTGTCTATGTCGAGTGGACACACATAGATTTAGTGATGACAATTACATATGGAATCTAACGCATGTCAGATGTGCGTGTGTGAAAGAAACAACAACACTCACATATACACCCTAAAATTACCATCATTTGGATACACGCTCGTTCGCTTTCGATCGATGTGTGTCTGCTAAACACTTTGACGCCCGGATTATCGTCTTCATTAGACCAATCTTATTCATGTTTCCTGTAGAGAATATTTATTGATGACTCTGCATGTAGTTTTCTGTTCTCGGATTTTTTTTCTTCTTTTTGATTGTATATAAACGTATACAATCGATTCAAGACGTATTTTTTGTTGTTTTTTTTTATTTGCTTGCGTCATATAAAAATAATCAAGTGAATAAAAAAAAAAAGACCATTGAAATGATAAAGAGATTAGTTGATTGAAAAAAAATAAAACTAACCTTGATTAAATAAAAAAAAACAAAAGTTTCAACTATAATTTATTCTTTTTTTTCTCTTTTATGATTAGAGACGTTTTTTTTTTTGCTTAATACTATAATTTGTCTTTGATCGTTCGTACACACATTGTCAATCAGAAAAATAACATCTGCCATTCTTATAATAGAACGTTATATATTCTTCTATTTCTATGTTGAGATGTTGGTAGAAAAAGTAATTAGCATGATAGTCTAATTCAATTTTCTCGTTCTACTCACACTACTAATACTATTATTGCTTATCTTGATCGAGCGGCCCAATACATATGGATGGATTTGATTAAACTTACATACACACACATACACACATATTTTTAATGAATTTTTTCACTCTGATTGTTTTTCTCTCGTTCTCTCGATTACCGTGTGTTCGCCAAACACATTTCTCACCGACGTAGACTACACACAGGAAGAACGTCACTGCTTCCTTATCGTCCTTTTTTTTTCTCCATACGACAGTACCTTTATCCTGATTGTTATTCTTTTTCATCTTCATCCTCTTCGTCTTCGTTGCTATTTCGCATAGATGTGAAAAAATAATCAAGTGTTGCTACAATATATAGGGTACTATGTATACATAAGACATACTTTGTCCTCGGCAGGTCTGTGAATATGAAAAAAAAAAGATCAAGAAAAGAAAACGAGAAATAAGTACCTTGTACTTCTTATTAGCTCATTCAATTAGAGTTGATCGTAAATAGACAGGTTTTTTCGTCGTTCTCTTCACCGTCATTTAACAATTTGCTGCCTTTTTTTTCGTGTTCTATCGTATGTATGTATAAGGAGAATAGAACACACCTCATAACCGCGTCCTTTTTTATTTTATTACGTGCATCTTACATACACGGCCAAATTCGTTTCTTTAAAAAAAAAGTGCACACTAGTAAACGTTGCGAAAACGATTGGAATATTCATCGATGGTAAAAGCAAGTCGAAGTACAATGCGTCAGCGAATTTTTACTACTGCTGCAGGTAAACAAGCTAAATGTGGCATTATCGATCTAAATTTAATCAACTAAAAGGTTTTCGAGCTATGAAATCGATAAACACTTTTAGACTTCTAAAAAAGTCAATGCTCTTGACACTTAATATGTCGAAGTTTTTTCTTTTTCCTTTTTCTCATTCTTGCTCAATGCTTTTATCCATCAATCCATTAGTAGTTTGTGCTCTATTTAATAATGACAATCGATTCTGCTTTTTTTCTCTATGACAAACGGCGAACGACATTATGTTGTCAATTAAAAAAAAAAAGAAAAAACGACCACTTTCTGGTGTTAGTTCTCGTCTATCCGAACAAAAAGAAGGGTGAAAATTGAAAATAGACATAAACAAAAGACGAGATTGCATACTTGACAAATCAATTTCGATGATTAGTTAGCAAAATAGACTTGACTAACAATGATACAATACAACTAGTAAGTTTCAATAATGGTCAAAATCTTTTTTTTGTATTGATCATAAATGATCTAATACATACATTGATTTAATGTTCAATAGATTCTATACTACTAGATACACATATGGTTCGCTAATGTAAATTGTGATTAAAAACGTAAACGCCGAACAAGTTCGTTTTTTTTCTTTTCTCGTTTTTTTTTTTCAATTCAAATTTTTCCCTCTCTCTCTCTCTCTCTCTCTTTCGTCTTGCCCTCGTCCGGCCATCATATATAGGAACTCGAAGACTATATATCTTCTTCAATTCATTAATTGACGACGTCTATTTGTAATATGATGGAGAATAGAAAAAAAAAAAGAAAGAATCGTAGTGATGTTGGTTAGTGCTTAGATGATGATGATGATGATGAAGAAAATAGGAAAGGGAAGAGAAAGAAGAAGAAGAGGAAAAAAAATGAGACCAAGTTTTGTTCTTCTGCACAAACGAGACGAGACGAGAGCGAACACATAGCCAGTCAACTTGACAGAACATCATGTGTATGTGTGTACGAAGTAATATACTCAGATATTGAATGGATATATGTTCACAACGATATTATTCATTTATTGAAATCAAAATCGTATAAACAATATTATTGAGACAGAAAATTTTTATTGGTAATTATTATTCAATTTTGTTTTTTTTTTTAATAAGATATTGCGTAGTATAGGTAGATTTCGATACAAAGAAGAAGAAAAAAAAAGAGTAAAAGTAGGAGAAATAAATAAATCTTGAGCTTGAAAAGAAAGGTACTTATATGAAGGAAACAATCTAAATTTAATTTATTCTATTTGTTCAAAGAAAACTAAAAATAACAAAAAAAAAAATTTTGCAATTATCTTTCAGAGAAATTCCATTTTTATTTTTCTTTCATCATCATTTATCAGTTATTATTAACAGATAAATATTAATTTTTTTTTCTTCTTCTCTTCTTCCATCATTCAATATATTCTATTCCATAGAGACAAACTTCATTACTAAGAAAAGAAAAAAAAAAAAAAAAGAATATGATCTATTTTTCAACGAATAAAGTATAGAATATTTTAAGTTACTTATATATTAGATTTAAGAAATCGAAAATTATTCAATTTATTATGTTCTTTTCTATATATTAATCATTTGTTAATCGATAAAAGAAAAATTTTGTTTGTTAATTAGAAAAAAAAAATAATATTCATGTCAATTCTTATTTGCAAGTCGTTAACTAAATATATTTTTTTTGTATAGATATATATTCGTGATCTGTTCTTTGTTATTTCTTCTTTTTTCTATTCACACCTGCTCTATAGTTCAGACAAACTAAAGCAAGTTTAATTAAAGTAATTGTCCAGACAATTACGCGATAGAATGTTCTATTCTTTTTACTGTTTGATACAGTTAGCAATGTTGTTGTTACTTCATTTGTTCATCTTGTGTAACCATCACTACTCAGATAATGATTTATTTTTTTCTTTTCTTCTGATCACATTTATTGAGCTCTTCTTTCTCTCTCTCTCTCTCTCTTTTTCCCCTTGTCTGTATGTGTCAAGTAGAAATAGAGAATATATTCGCTCATTTCTCGCTTACACATGCACAATCGCCATCGATCATCGTCTCGTAATTGGAAAATAAATTGAAATCGAGATGTAGTAATAGGAGGAGGTACATGAATATTGATTACCCTATCTTCATTTTTTTTTTCTAGACAGTAGTAATAGTGGTAGTGGCTCAATTGTATTAATGCAGCCTAAACTAGAACCACAACCGGTTGTCTTTGACCAACAACAACAGCAACAGTCTAAAATGGTACCAATAACTTCTCGTTATGATTCACAACAACAGTGTTCAACAAATGGTAGTGCATATACTTGTTCAAATTGTACACAACCTATTCATGAACGTTATTTATTATATACACAAGATCGTTCATGTCGTGGAAATTATTGGCATATGCAATGTTTACGTTGTCAATGTTGTGATGCTGTTTTAGCTGATATATCGTCAACATTTTATACTAAAGATAATGCACTACTTTGCAAGTCTGATTATATTAAGTAAGATAATGAAATGAAATGAAATAATATTTCTTTCGTAATTTTGTTGTTAAAAACAAAAAAGGTTTCCAAGATTCAATGCATGTTCAATAAGTCAACAATCAAACTAAAGGATTCTTCTTTTGTTTAATATGAATAGAAATTCGAAGTGCTCCTCCTTATATCAACATAAGAGAAACCTTCTGTAAGAATTTCTAGTTAAAAGAAGAAAAAAAAAAGAGAGAGAGAGAGAAAGAAAGAAAGAGAACGAGCTTTTTTTTTCAATTAAAAGAAATCTTATCAATTAAATATTCATTATTCAACTATCTATACTTGAAAATCAGGCAAAAGAAAAAACTAATAATTGTTTTATATTAATATATTAATAATCAGTGTTTTTTTTTTCTTCTTTGTTTTATTTTTAGAAGATATGGTAGTCGTCCATGTTCATTCTGTAGTCAAGTTATTGCACCAAATGAACAAGTTATGCGTGTTAGTCCAAATTATGTTTATCATCTTCATTGTTTTACTTGTATTAAATGTCATGCACGTTTAGTTAAAGGTGATCGTTATGTTTTTTTTAATGGACAATTATATTGCGAAAAAGATAATCCACTTAAATCAACAACAAATACTAGTAATAGTCCAGCATCAAAACGTGGTACTAATACGAGTAAACGTGGTGCAAAAGCAGCTAATGCTGCTGCATCACGTGCTGCTGCAGCAGCAGCAGCAGCAGCGGCTGCTGCTCAAGCTCAACAACAAACATTCGCAACACCAACAACACAAATACATCATCAATATCATCCTTCAACACATACAGGACACTTGACACTATTAAATAATCATCATATACATTCATCAACATCATCATCATCATCGACACAAAATACAATAACACATTCGTTGCTCAATAATAATAATAATAATACGAATAGCAACAGTTCATCATCATTGGCGACACCAAGTGGTGATGAACTATATTAGAATTTTTTTTGTATGTTTGATTTTGTTTTTGTTTTTTTTTTGTGTTGTGGTATAGAGAATGAATCCTTGTCTTTTTCTATGCACACTTGTTGCCTAATTGTTTATTTCATTTTTTTTTCTTCTTTCTCCTGTGTTTATATCTTTTCTAACTGTTGAAAAAAGAAAAACTAAAGAGATATATATATATATTTAAAAAAAAAAAAGAAGAGAATTTTATTGATATAAATAGGATTACAGAAAAAAAAAAGAAACCATAATCAGAAAAGTTCATATGATAGATGAAGAGTTTGTTTCACTATGAAGTTTTTCTATTGTTCGTTCATTAGAATATAATGTTTATGTAATCAGATAATTATAATTATATACACGAAATAATTCTATTCATCTATTCATCATTCAAAAGCTGTCATCTTGACATTTTTTTTTTTCTTTTTCCTATTCTTTTCCTATGTATCTCCATTATTTATTCTATTTTAACAGGACAATCTTCAAGTATTTTGCATTGTTAATGAGTTCCTCAATTATTTTCATCATTCTATCTTTCATAAATATTTTTTTAGAAGATATATATATATATATATATAATAATGAATTATTTTAATAGAGAAAAAAATAATCTATTTTTATAGTAACTACTGTAAGTTAATTAAAGAATTTCGCAACGCAACAATATTAATAAATAAAATTTCTTCTAAAATAATGATTAAATATAGAATTATTATCAATCTATTTGAGATGTTGAATCATAAAACAGAGTAGAAAGAGATAGAAAGTAAACTATTCATTAATGCATTTGGATTAGTCACTGATAGATAAAACTTTTGTTTTCATTTGACTTAAACCAAATGGGAACTTTCAAAAAAAAAAAAAAAAAACTTAGGTCGTCATGACACCAGAACTTAATTTTGGTTTCAATAATCACAATACTAGAAAATGATTGAATGGTCTAAATCTTTTCTCTCGTTATCAATAAGAAAAGATTATCTATCAGTTATTCTATAAAATCAAATTAACTATTCATTTCTAAATAATAATAAAATGAATATTTCACTTGATTATCTCAAAAAAATTAATGACTATAATTATTATCATTCGTTCAATCAAATGTCTAATTTTATGACATAGAAATTCAATAGAAAAAAAGAAAATCTTGTTGACATGATTTATCATAAGAATTTAGACAATCTGTATTGAAAAAAAGAAAATCGAAGGCCATGAGTATTTTTATATGGTAATAACTGTCACATTTGCATAGTGTAATTTCCGACGTTTTTATTTATATAAATAAATTCTACCTGTAATATATTATTAAAAAATTTCTTAGATGAATTATTATTCATGAGAGACAATTTTATTTTAATTTAGTTCTAGAGGAAAAGAAAATATATTTTCACAGATATTATAGCCTTGAACATTTAATAACATTAGTTTTATAGAAAAAAAAAGGTTTATCATCTTTTTAATGCTTTTTTAGTCACATATAAATCTATGTTTATACATACTTCAGATTAAAAATTATTGAGATAACTTCGTTCATGTCTAATTATGCATGTCAAAATAACAATATGGTGAAGTACTAGAAAAATTAAAGAAAAACAGCTAAAGATATAAGATGATCGACATACGTAGGTACATCTCTCATATCTGCCCAGTACAAAAGGTAGTTTGATTAAAATGTTGGTTCATCTTAAAAAACCCTGGTGAAATTTTTTTTGAGGTACTAATAGTCTTCTTTCCTCGTTTGGTTGAAAATATCGAAAATAAAACTAACGGAGAAGATTAATATACTGAAATGGAGAAAAAGTAGAAAAGCTCATTAGAGAATTTTGATCAGCAAAATATACTCTTTATTTGTGATGGGATACTCATATCTTAAGGGTATTTACCTCTTTTTTTTCATGATTTTGCATCCTTGGAGAAAGTACAATTGATCTGCACGAGGTTTTTTTACCATGGATAGAGCACATAAAATAAAAAAGGTAAATGTTTGATGAAAAAAATTTACAAAACAAGTTTTCACGATTTTGTTTCTGGGATTTCTGATTATCCATAGGAGCACATCAGGCCTGCTAAGAAGCTCTTGTTAACCTTGTCTGGCCGGGCTGAGAATTTATTTCGAAATACAGGTCAGTGTTTTATCTGTATGTGAGAGTCGAGATGGTGGCGTCTCTCTGAAGGTTAGGTTGACTCTCTCGTAGTTTTAAATCGTCGCTCCGAAAGAGAAAATCTGAATTAAATTTTGACACAAATCAATAAATTTTGCAACCAGAAAGGACAGATCATCTAAATATTTCATTGCATTGTCAGGGGTACCTCTTCTATTAACCCACACCTACCCTATTCTTTCATTATTGTTCATTGTTATAAAGTGTCAGTCATCTTTTTTGGACTACTGATTATATATGCAGGTCAACAAAAATCATCAGAAGACGAACAACAAACTAGAAATATCACTTTCTTCGATATTCTCGACTCAATTACGACACCGCCTTTCTTGTACATATTTCTATTACCGATTTTTTTTCAAATCTTTGTACATAAACACCGATATGCGAAAGTTACTTATTCCAATATTGAGAAATTATCGAAAAAAAAAAACTATTATATTTCATTCATATTGATTTGCTAAGAGTGAATGTGTTTATTTTAATGATCATTTAGTTGGCGTGAAAAATTATCGAAGCATATGTAACACCACAAAGCAAAAGAAAGAAGATTACATCACAGTTAAACTGTCTTTGAATAAAATGGAATCATTATTTCTAACTAGGCTTGTGCAGCTCGATCCTCTTGTTGAGCTTTATCAAGATCATCATGAACTTTTTGTGCTTCTTCATATTCTTTTGATTGTTTTAATGTTTCATCATTAGTTGCTGCATTCTAAATAGAAAATTTTTTTTCCAAAGAAATTATTCACGGCATCAAGACAAAGTAGGTCAATGGTTTTTGAGTTACTTTTGAAGTACAACTTCATAAGAATGACACCCATATTCTCTAATGTGCTCTATCAGTTAGATCAATCAGTACAGAGAGTGTTGTTCTTGAGTAGTTGGACCGTTTTTTTTTTAGAGGTTCGGATATTGGTCTAATGATCTAGGTGTGCTCTGAAAAGAATCAAAGCTGGATTGATTTATCATGCTAATTTGAGTAGCAATGATTATTTTCAGTTTCAAGCCTATCTAAAACAGTTATCTCCAAAGTTACGAAATACAGACTCTCTACGGTACAGCAACGAAATTTAAAATGTCGAAAATCATGATATAATACTTTTAGATAGGTTTTAAAGTGAAAACAAATATTGTCACTCGATTCAAAATGATAAATTAACCATATTTTGAATTCTTTCAGAGTACTTCAAGGTCATTAGATAGAAAGTAAGATCTCTGAAAAACTTCTATAATTCCTGAATAGAATACGTTAAAAACATCAGATTTGTATGGATCTAAAAAGAAAATTTTTATCTATTGATTGATCATTGCAGATTATTTTTTTAAATAAAAACATTGACCTTCCATAAAAAAAAAAAAAAAAGAGAATAATTACATAAACATCTTGAAATTCTTTCCATGACTTAATAAAACTACTTTTTGTATGCGAAATCATTGATTCAGTTTCTTTTAATACTTCTTGCTAAAAAGAAAAAAAAAATCAATTCGAAAAAAAAAAAAAGAAATCAAAATAATTATTTCAAATCTTACCGCTTT